TGAGGGTGAGTGTGGGGCTGTGTGTGTGTGGATGGTGTGGAGTGTGATGAGTGTGGAGCTGTGTGTGTGGATGGTGTGGAGTGAGTGTGGGGGTGAGTGTGGAGCTGTGTGTGAATGGTGTGTAATGTGAGGGTGAGTGTGGGGCTGTGTGGATGGTGTGGAGTGAGTGTGGGGGTGAGTGTGGAGCTGTGTGTGTGTGGATGGTGTGGAGTGTGATGAGCGTGGATCTGTGTGCGTGGATGGTGTGCAGCGAGTGTGAGGGTGAGTGTGGAGGTGTGTGTGTGTGTGGATGGTGTGGAGTGTGATGAGCGTGGATCTGTGTGCGTGGATGGTGTGCAGTGAGTGTGAGGGTGAGTGTGGAGGTGTTTCCCTGTGGCTGGGAATGGACAGGGACAGGCAGAAAAGTGATGCAGCTCCCTGGAGAGGGGATCAGCCTGGGATCTTCCCACAGGAGCAGGGCATGGACATTCCTGCCACATTTCAGGTGTAGTCACATTTATCCACAGATGCTCCCTGCATCCCCCAGCTGGGCACCAAGTGCCAAGTACCAAAGCTGCTCTCCCAGCTCCTCCCAGTCCCTGCGCACCGGGGAATGGCGGCCCCCCGACTGCATGTCGGTGGCGCTGAGGTGCTGGAGCCCACTGCGGGTGTGAACTCACCGTGTGACCACGGGGTGCAGCGCGTGGTTGGGTCCGAAGCAGCTGAGGCTCCCGCGCCCACGCAGCCCTGTGCGGCCCATGGGGTTCCTGCGAGGCAGAGGGTTGACTTAGCCTGCCGTCCACCACTGGGGGAGCAGGACAGGGCAGACAGCGTGACCAAGAGGGGACAGCGGGCGTCAGGAGCCGGCGCACAGGGGCATGGCGTGCTAGCTTCTTTGGGAACCTACCCTGGCATAAGGAGGAGGATCCCTTTGGCACCCCAAGGAGTAAGATGAAGGCTCTGGGTTGCCTTGGGGTCACCTGGTGGGGAAGGGCCTCCCTGGCAGCAGAAGTGTGGCCAATGCAGCTGGCCAGGGGCTAACGTGGCTACCTTCTCCCCATGGAGCGCGGCGCTGGCCAACTGCTGGGGCCAGCACACTGCGTCCAAATGCCCCAGCACAAGAGGGCATGGCCTCCACCCTGGCAGCCTTGAGAGGGGCGGTGTGGGATCCAGGCCAGACACCAGAGGCCCTGCGTCCATGTGGCCACACACACCCCCAGCATAGTGTGCTAGCCAGGGCGGCAGGAGCCACAGACGCTTCCCATCCGGCCAGGCTGGCTTACCCAAAACCACCAGCTCCCAGGTGAAACAGCAAGTTCTAGAAAACGGCAAGTTCCTGTGAATGCATCACTAAGGAAGAAGGAAGATGCGCACCGGGCTACGGTATGGTGGGGCGCCACGTCTACAGAAGGTCCCCAACAGCGTCCCCAATGGCATCCCCGCCAGCATGCCCACCAGCGTCCCCACCAGCGTCCCCGCCACCGTCCCCGCCACTGTCCTTGCCACAGAGGAGACAGTGCTATTGTTCCTCCACCTGGCCACTCTGACCTCCAAACCCCGCCACAGCTGCAGCCTCCGACCCGTCCCCGACGGGCCTCCTCTCTGCACAGCCTGGACTCCAGGCCACCTGCCACCTCCCCTCGCCCTCCCCATTCATCTCACCTCCTCTGAGCCGGCCTGACTGTTCCCAGGGGAGCCCCCACCTCAGCTCTGCCTGTGCTCCCCACTCCTGCTGCCCTCTACACCCTCAACTGAGGCCACCAGCACTCACCCCACCCCACCTTGTACTGGCTCCCAGCACAGACGGGGCTCCCCAGCCTAGGCAGGCGCCCCCCCAACCCATCAGCATGTGGACCTGAGCCTGGCCCCTGCATCTCTTCTCTCTTCTCTGTCCCCTTCACTTGCTGGCCCTCCAGGCTCCTCATCAGCTGCCGCCTGTGGACGGATGACCCCGGGAAGGACACCAGCCCAGCTGCACCCGAGTTCCAAGTCAGCCCCACTGCCCACTTCCTCACGGATCACAGGCCGACTTCAAGCTCCACAGGCCAGCTGACACCAGGGCTCCCTCACACAGGGCGGGCAGCGCTCCCGGCCCCCTGCACTCTCCTCCCACCTCCTGCCGCCCTCCGAGTCCTGCCAGCCCCAGTGTTGTAGCACCCTCCTGAATCCACATGGCCGTGCGCGGCTGCCCCGGGAGACCCAACCACCTCTAGCACAGGCGGACCCCGCCAGGCCTGCGCCATCGTCCCCGACCCTGCCTGCGTGGCAGCCTCCAGCTGGCCTCCCTGCCTCCGCCAGCCCCTCCTCTCTGTTACACACCCTGCCGCCACCCTGCTCCTGCCCCTGCCCAGCTGTCAGGGGCCCCAGCTCTCATCACACCTCTGCACAGACCCGCCCGTGCCCACAGCGCTCAAAGTCCAGTCCACACCGGA